CCTCTTCTTCCCTCTTTTTTGCTCCTTGGAGCAGCCCTTGGCGATGTCCTGGTGCTGCTGGGGCAGCATAAAGAGGCTTCAGCCCCTTGTGGAATCATGGAATGGTTTGGGTTGAAGGATCATCCGTGGGCAGGGACACCTCCTGGTGTCGCTCCATCCCGATCCAACCCTTCCAGGGATGGAGCACCCACAGCTGTCTGGGCACCCTCCAACCCTTCCTGGTGGGCTGTGGGATGGGATTCGTGGGTTTGGGGTGGGTGTGAAGGTCCCCTCTCCTTCCCCTCAGCGCTTCCAGGAGCTGTACAGCCGGAACCCCGGAGCGGCCGTGGAGGAGCAGATCGAGGGCGCGCGCCGGAGGGTCAGCCAGCTCCAGCTCAAAATCCTCCAGGAGACCGGGAATTCCCTGGTGGGTGGATTCAGGGGAGTCACCCCCATCCTCCTGGCTCCCTCTGAGCCTGGGAACACCTTCCTGAGGTGTTGGGAACACCTTCCTGAGGTGTTGGGAACACCTTCCCGAGGTGTCGGGATCGCCCTCCTGGGGCGGTGGGAATGGCGGCAGAGACATCCCTGCCTTTCCCAAACCTCCTGTGGTGGGAATTGCTCCAAGTTCCCTCATCCCTGTCCTTGAATCCTGAATCCACCATCCCAGTGATCCCACCCCTCTCCCACTGCAGGATTCCAGGCTGAGCAGCGACTCCAGCATGGCTGGGTTCAGGTTGGTGGAAGGTGAGTGGTGCCGGTGTTCCTGGAGCATCCCGGTGTTCCCAGCTCCTGGACACGTGGATCAGCCTCTCCTCTGCTCCCAGGACGCCTCTCCCTGGACTCCCAGGATGGAGACAGCGGGTTGGAATCCGGCACGGAGCGATTCCCCTCTGTGAGTGAGGTGAGGGAGGGGTTCCCCGACTTTCCCTGCGCCCCGGGAGCGGGGCTGGATCACTCCGGGAATCCTCAGGGCCTCCTTTTGTAATCCCAGTGAACTGCTTGTCACCTGAACCAATGGAATTCCTTGCAATTCCTCAACCCGGAATTCCTTGGGCTCCTCACCTTTACCCCCAAAACGAGGGATCCCCCGAAATTCCCACCTCATGCTCCCAATCCAAAAGTTCTCCCAGCGGCCCCCGAGGGGTTTTGTGTTTTCCCCCACTCCCGGGGTTTTATGTTTTTGTGGAATCTTGAGCTGAGAGCTGCTCTCAGGTGCCTCAGCCTCACGTTCCCAGTGTCTCCCATGCCGAGCAGGTCTCCCTGAACCGGAATTCCACCCTCTCCGACCACGGCCTGGAAAGCCCCCGGACCTCCCCCATCATCTCCTCCCGGCTTTTCCAGCACCATCGGCGCCAGGGCTCCGACAGCCCCTTCCCAGCCATGGCAGAGCAGGTGGGTGGGAGCTCATCCAGGGGGGCTGGAGCCTCAGGAATACGCAGGATTCCCCCCGGATCCGGGCTCCTGGCTCCTAATTCCCACCCCTTCCCCGGGCAGGAGCGGCCGGGAAGGCCCCTGATCATCGGCCCGGAGGAGGATTGTGATCCAGGCTATTTCAACAACGAGGTATTCCCGGGATTTTTTGTCCCCTCACCCCTTTATGGACCCCCCCCAGGCCTGGTGGGATTTCAAATCCCCCCTCCCAGGAGACACCCCGGGTTGGTCCCAAGGAGGTGGGATTCAGGAGCTGGGCTGTGGATCCAGAGGAGTGAATTCCTTCCCTTCCCTTCTCTTCCCAGTGCGACTCCCTCTTCCAGGACCTGGGGAAGCTGAAATCCCGGCCGGCACACCTGGGGGTCTTCCTGCGCTACATCTTCTCCCAGGCTGATCCCAGCCCCCTGGTAAGGGGCAATCCCGGGAATACCTGAGCCCCAGGG